TGCGCATGCGCGCGAACCGTGCAGTGCCGTCTGAGGCAAACATTATAATATAGCTTGCTGAGGGAAACAGGGGATGGGAGACTGAGGAAAGGCGGCAGGAAAAATAGCTGGGGGCGGTAGAAGAAGAAGGAGGCTGAGCGAGGGACAGGGGAGGCAAGGGGTAGGACGCGAGGGCATAAAGTAAATGTTTTGTACCCTACATGCTAGGGCGCTCTCCTAATTATAAACACAGGTCTACTGATAAAAGTTTATTAGGGAAATCTATGCGGCGATACCCCCTAACCATATTAAATGCATATTCATCACAAAATATAACTCTTCTGGTAAGTTATTGCGCATGCGCTAACACACTAACGTAGCCAGATTGTGTACTGGCTGGTATACGCAGCGGGGACTTTACATGCAAGGTCTGCCTCTTATTTATTAAATGTCTACTGATAGAATGTTATTATATAAATCTATGCTAGAATAACTCCTCTTCATTTTAAATGCATAATCTTTGCAAAATACGATTTCTCTCGGGAGATATTGCGCATGCGCGAGCACCGTGTTAGGCGTGCAGTGCCGTCTGAGAAAAACTTCATAATATAGCTTGCTGCGGGGGAGAGGGGATGGGAGACGGAGGAAAGGCGGAAGGGAAGATAGCTGGGGGCGGTAGAAGAAGAAGGAGCCTGAGCGAAGGACAGGGGAGGCAAGAGGAAGGTATAAAGTAGGTGTTTTGTATCCTACATGCTAGGGCGCTCTCCTAGTTATAAACACAGGTCTACTGATAAAAGTTTATTAGGGAAATCTATGCTGAGATACCCCCTAACCATTTTAAATGCATATTCATCACAAAATATACCTCCTCTGGTGGGATATTGCGCATGCGCTAACACACTAACGTAGCCAGATTGTGTACTGGCTGGTATACGCAGCGGGGACCTTACATGCAAGGTCTTCCTCCTATTTATTAAAATTACATGCAAGGCCTTCCTCCTATTTATTAAACGATGTCTACTGATGGAATATTATCATATAAATCTATGCTAGGATAACTCCTCTTCATTTTAAATGCATAATCTTTGCAAAATACGATTTCCCTCGGGAGATATTGCGCATGCGCGAGCACAGTGTTAGGCGTGCAGTGCCGTCTGAGAAAAACTTATAATATAGCTTGCTGCGGGGGAGAGGGGATGGGAGACGGAGGAAAGGCAGAAGGGAAGATAGCTGGGGGCGGTAGAAGAAGAAGAAGCCTGAGCGAGGGACAGGGGAGGCAAGAGGAAGGACACGAGAGCATAAAGTAGGTGTTTTGTACTCTACATGCTAGGGCGCTCTCCTAATTATAAACACAGGTATACTGATAAAAGGTTATTAGGAAAATATATGCTGAGATACCTCCTAACCATTTTAAATGCATATTCATCACAAAATGTAACTCCTCTGGTGAGATATTGCGCATGTGCTAACACACTAACGTTGCCAGATTGTGTACTAGCTGGTATACGCAGCCGGGACCTTACATGCAAGGTTTTCCTCCTATTTATTAAATGATGTCTACTGATAGAATGTTATCATATAAATCTATGCTAGGATCACTCCTCTTCATTTTAAATGCATAATATTTGCAAAATACGATTGCTCTCGGGAAAGACCACACCCAAGTGTGGCTTTAGGCCACCTCGTCCCCCGTCGTGGCCTCCAGCCCCCGTCAGCTCACTCCGACAATAACCCTTCCACGACCGAAAATGATTATTTTTGTTTACGTATTTTAGTAATGCTAAATGAAGTTACCATGGTATATGCCGAATGTATTACCCATAGGCATAGATATAGCATTAAATTGGAGAAAAAAAAACAAGACAAGCGCCAGTGTAGCACTCGGTAAGTTATTAGTAGCACGTTATAGTGTTGCCGGCGTTATATTTGTATGACGGGGGCCTAAGGCCACCTATATAGAATTCTAATAATAGTGTATAATGCGGGCCCAAGACCACATATATAGTATTTGTATGACGGCGGCCTAAGGCCACCTATATAGAATTTTAATAATAGAATAGTGTATGATGGGGGCCAAGGCCACATATATAGTATTTGTATGACGGCGGCCTAAGGCCACCTATATAGAATTTTAATAATAGAATAGTGTATGATGGGGCCAAGGCCACATATATAGTATTTGTGTGACGGGGACCTAAGGCCACCTATATAGAATTTTACTAATAGTGTATGCTGGGGGCCCAAGGCCACATATATATAGCATATGTATGACGGGGGCCTAAGGCCACCTATATAGAATTGTAATAATAGTGTATGATGGGGGCCCAAGGCCACATATATATAGCATATGTATGACGGGGGCCTA